AGATCGGTTATTGAGTTCGGCTGTATCATAGGGACCTTCAATGATGCCTTTCCACTTGCAGTGACTCCAAATCTTAGAGTATTTTAAGACTTATAATGGTAGAAAAGTTGTCGTCAGAATGCACCTCTACCTACCAGGGTGCTTACTCTCGAAACCAATCTCAATGTTAATGCAATTACAATCCAATGAAATTTCAATAATTATTCAATGTCAACACTATACAACCACAACCGTAGCTGTTACAATAGCATTCAGAGTAGGGAATATAAAACCAAATTCAATACCATTTAGTTCATTCAATATCCACGCAATACGGATGCAATGGGCACTAGTGTTGCAACTCAAGAGTACGAAATTTCACAATACCAATGTCGATCGATCGGAATTGGATTCAAGAGTAAGCACCCTGGTCATGGAATACATTATGTAATATTATTATTAATACATTACTAACAGTTACTTTAGTGTCGTGGACAGTGGATACTGATGGTCGATAGCAGATTACATTGACTATGTGGGACACGTGGGGCTTCACATCGGACGCGCGGTCACGGCCGCCCTCCGGTGTACTGCGGTCGCAAACGGGAACTGAACCCTTTTATTGAGGGGAGAAAGTCATGCAATGACTTCTGCCACCTTAGTTGAGGCGAGAGAGAGTGAGAGACTCTTACTGACTAAACACCACCCTGTTCCTACACTGCATTGAGCCGTAGCCACGGTTAACCGCTAGGTCGTCCGCAGCTCCTCATTAGGATTTTGTCATGTGTCGTGGGTGCGTTTACAAACACACAAGTTCACATACACAATGACACCCAGACCCGAAACAACAATTTGTGGATCACACAAAGTGTTGTTCCGTGCGGGAATCGAACCCCCAACACGTTGCACTGCAGCCGGTTGCCCAGCCACCGCACCAACCTTGCAGTCAATATGGTTTAATGATGTAATAATGTAGTTCATATTAGTTTAATGGCATTCTGTGACCGTATTTTGTATTTCCAGAGGTCGCAATTGCAATTTGGACGGTATTGTTATAGTCCTAAGTTAGATTTTAATTTCAAACATGTGTCTGGGTGTTTGGAATCACCTACTCGTATTTAAGTAGTCTATGTAGGTCATCCATGAAAACAACTTACTTGGCAAATATCTCTGCAGCTATTTACCTTTAATGGAAGTTCTTTGGTACTCGGGTCAGGAATGAAACTTGAAACCTTATGTTTAACAGTTTTTTTTTATACATTTGATGGGCCGACGTTTGACCAGTATCTCGCCTGATGGCAAGCGATGACGCGGTCTACGATAGAGCACGTCGTCCCATAAGCAACCTATTCACTCGGGCCTTGAAGACACCCAGCAGCTGTAGCCAAATGCCACTTAGCGCTTGTCTACATGTAGAATAGAAAACCAATTATATGGAATTGGCGTAAATTTTGACACTTGACAGTGTCATTTCCAGACATTTAGTTTTCTACTCTCTCAGTAGTCAAGCGCTAAAGTGGCGTTTGGCTAAAGGCACAGGTTATACGCTTTTGGAAATACAGACTCTGGCAAAGAATTCCACTCCTTAGCAGTACGCACAAGGAAGCTTGCACACACATAACCTGTGATTTATTAGCACCCATTTATTTGAACAAACCAGTTTATGCTTAACTAAAACACAAACCTTAATACTTCCATACAATGGCGTACAAAAAATTGCCAAAAATTTATCGTCGTAGTTCAAGTGGGCGTAGTTTTTGTACAAACCCGTTGTATGATATCTTTGCTATATAATTATGTGGTATATACTTAATGGTACATGGTATATACCTTGGCCCCTTTGGTAATAGTTTCCGCGTGTCTCGTAACTACCTCTAGAGAATTGTATTGTGAATCGGATTGAAAAAGAGTAACCTATGGCGTTTCTTGCTCGTTCTTCTACATAGGAATCTACACTTTGGAATGTGCAAATAGCTTGTCTTTTAATTTTTTGTTGACGTTCTGGTCTTTTTGGTTTAATTGAAATAAATGATTTTGATTTTGACTTGTAAGGTTTTTGATACAAAACAATTGTTGTGAGTACTGTTTAGAGAGTGTGTTTCGGGCTGGCTTGACCGTAGTGGTACTACGACCTCACAGAAAACCGACGTGAAACAACGCTTGTGTTGTGTTTTGTTGTGTAATTGAGGTTGCCACTGCCAGGGATACCATTCTCTCCCCCATTTATTAATTTACTCACCTGGTGTTTCATTGCTGATTGCTTACCATCAGGTTACCCGTCTGCTCATTTTTATTTGGGCTAACCCGGTCAACGAGCAGACGGGTAACCTGATGGTAAGCAATCAGCGTCGCCCATGGACACCTGAACACCAGGTGAGTAAATTATAAGTACATTGCCGGCCTTATGGGGGTCAGGGACTAGAGGATTGGGGATGAATAGGGAAGAGAATGGTAATGCCACAGTACAATGGAACACTAGTCCAGTCATTTTAGGCATTTTATACCCCAATCTGGGGAAAAATTCCTAGTGAGCTGAATTTTTGTATACACCTTTATTACGGCGTTATTATGAAGTTGTGAAAAATCGACATCGATATCGTGTCGGCTAAAAAAATTACAGAGGTCAAAAGGTCACGAAAATCAGTTTAATAAAGGTGTATACAAAAATTCAGCTCACTAGGAATTTTTCTCCAGATGAAACCTAAAATGACTGGACTACACCCACTTTTCACTATTTATGTTATGAGTCCCATGTAATGGGGGGTGAGTCTACTGCCATATACCGAGCACAATTCCACACACCGTGCTACTACTGACAATGTTTTTTTAAACCTAGTACTTTGACCGACCCCTAGACCCCTTGCCCGGCAGTCGCACTTACGACCGCTCGGCCAATGAGGCAGACATATATTAAGCTATGCTACTATAGTACAATACTATACTCGGGCGCAGTAATAACCCAGCCGCTCAGCATTCATTCAATTTCCTTTCAATCTAGTTCATACAATGACTACTAAACGTTTAGCTCATATATTTGTTTGTATGTATGCATGTATGTATGTATGTATGAGTGGACTGCACCCATTTATTTGTGTCATTTGTGTGGAGGTAGCGATGGACATTGTAAAGCTAAATCTCTTTTCTCGTCTCTTTTAAATGAAATTTTAAATAGTGTTAATATTTTGCAAACTTTGCTGTCAAGTAGTTTCGATTCCTGTGTCGGCTCAAGTATATCTCGGTTTTTGGAAATGGATACGCTGGTTGGGGCATGTAGAAAGGATGGATGAAAGTAATGTAACGAAAGAAGTATACAGAGCGGTAGAGGCCGCCCTAGACGGACATATAGTGACCAGATTAGCGATATATTAAACAAGGGCCAAATTAAAAGTACTCTTAACCGACGAGCATGCATGAAAAGGCTGATGACTGTTGATGAAGCGAAAGAGGTATGTAGGTATCGTAGTAATTGGCGTTCCCTAGTCTCTGCCTACCCCCATGGGAGACAGGCGTGAAGTTATGTATGTATACAGAATGTAAAATTAAATAATGATTTTTTCGCTAAATTTTATTTTTTACACAATGACATTTTCTAATACTATAATGTGTAACTATATAGCTGCTACGCGGGTAAATGAAGTCTTGATTATGGCTATGGCGAAAAATTGATGTTTCATTCAATATTATGGATTAAAAGAAAAAAAAACATCCTCATCCCAAATAGATTTCCATGTCATTAGCCCAAATGTCTCACCAATGGCGCCAAATACTAATCACGCATTCAGTCCAACACTTAGGCTACATCCTAAATATGGCCGCTAGTCATTATGCCCGCACTGACTAATGTCAGCACCCATTTGGGCAGGCTCCGCACATGGATACTATAATGCATTTATTGGTTTTAAATGATGTCATTTTGATACTGTAGTCTTTGGTAGAGGTTTCGCTTCCATTCGTGTACATTTATTTATTTACTAGCTACCTCCGCGCGGTTTCACACGCTCTGCTCAGCTCCTATTGGTCGTAGCGTGATGTTTTATAGCCTTTAGCCATCCTCGATAAATGCGCTATCCAACACAAAATTATTCAAATCAGACTTGTAGTTACGAAGATTAGCGCGTTCAAATAAACAAACAAAAAAACAAACTCTTCCGCTTTATATAGTAGTGAGTATAAGATAATTTACAACAATATAGACTAACAGTATTATATCTACCAAATCGTCTTCATGCCACTAAATACCTACACAATTAAAAAAATTATCTACAAACAAAATAACTAAAATAAGAAACAATGAGATCAAATACAGTTATATATTTAACTAATAAAATAATAAAAAGTCATAACCAGAGGTGCACACAGAAGTAACACCTACTGTTCACTATTTATGTTATGAGTCCCATGTAATAGGGGGTGAACCTATTGCCATATACCGGGTACAATTCCAGACTCCGTACTACTACAACAATCAATTCAATTCAAAGATCGTAGATATACATCAAAGTCAAAGCATTTATTTCAATTAACTCTTTGAGTACCGTCATTATAGACACAATTAGAGAACAATAGGTTGCGGTCACCGGTGTCCTCGCGGTGTTTGACAGTTTAAACTATAATTTGGTACTTTTGAAACTTCAACAAATTCAAAATAAATAATAGTCTGTCAGTCTGTCCGTCAGTGAACCTTTTTTTTTTAGGGGGGAAAATCTCTGACACTCTCCCGCCTCGCCCCGGGTAAGGCGGGAGAGAGTGTCAGACTCTTACTGACTAAAAACCATCCCGTTCCTACTCCTGCACTTCGAACCAGAGCCCCGCCAACCCGTTAATTCCTCCTCGGCTCCCGGTGCTCATTCCAATTTCTAGATTTGAATTTAGAAGAACTAGCAAGAAACTCGATTCATTACTCTTTTACATCGGTTAGCAAATGACGAATGTTTTTTTATGTTGATGATGTAACAAATTGTCAATTTTACTAACGTATGACTTGTCTTCTCTTCCAGCGCTTGTTCGCCGTGCCGCCCACGATGGCAGACACCGACACCGAGCCGCTGGCCAACGGCACGGGCCCGCTGTCCACGGAGGAGGAGGACGAGAGACTGAAGCAGAGACCAGCTGACATCGACGCTGTGAGTATACCACCACTATAATTAACGGAGAGAGACTGGACCATCCTAGGTATGTCATAGATCTGCAATCGAGCCGACGGGTCACGTGATGGTAAGCAATCAGTGTCACCCCTAGTAATTGGGTACTTGCCAAATAATCAAATTCAAAACTTTTTTGAAGCTGTCAAAAACGACAAATTTCTATGAATTTTGTATTGTGACGTCACGTTTTTTAACATCCAACAGCATACTTATTTGTTAAAAATTTGCTAGAAAAATACTAAAATTAAATTGGTCATAAAATCAATTAATTAAAGTGTGATTATATTTTAAATATTTGATTGTATTGAAAAGTCGAAATAATTTATTTTTGAATAAGGTAAAACCCAATTGTGCTACTTAAGATGTACCTTATTTTTTTTATAATAACTGTAGTAAGACATGCTGAATTAATCAAAATAGTACTAGTTACTCACGTAAATATACTGAGAAAAGTTCTAGTAGTTTCGAGTCACAGAGAGACTTCCTCATGGGCGCACAACGCAAGCACCAACACTAACACCAACGCAGGCACTAGCCAGTTACCTTATTAGTTTGCAATAAAAGCCAGTTACCCATGGAGTTTCTTGCTCCGTCTTCTCCATAGGAATATACGCCTTAGAATATGAGCAAATAGCTTCACTTTTAAAATATTTTTGTTGATGTTCAAAAGTAAGCACTTTCCTGGTCTAATTGAAATAAATGATTTTGACTTGACTTAAATAAATAAATGAATGGCTATTGCACGTCTAAAATACTACTTTTGAACTAAACTCGACCTTCTCTTTACTAAAAGTTGTAGTAGACATAAGATTCTTGTCACTAAATCCCAAGATAAGTCGACCTCATCGTTCGCTTGATAAAATTGACGTGTAAAAGTGCTGCCTTGTAGCCTATTTGCAGAAATAAATTCACTTGTTTCACTTAAAAGTTCCTATTAATGAACTCAACATTCTATTCTCATTCCAGGATGTCCGTGAGATGGAGCGTCGCAAGCGCGTGGAGGCGCTGATGTCCTCGAAGCTGTTCCGCGAGGAGCTGGAGCGCGTGCTGGACCAGCAGATGCACGAGGGGAACGACGCGCCGCTGCTGCAGCGGATCCGGGAGATGGTCGGGGGACGGCTGCATACTGGGAGCATGAGGGTATGTGGCACCTACATTAATAAGGGCGCTAGTGAAAGTTTTCTTTTGTTGACGGGAGCGGTGAAGTAAACCTTTGCTTTTTGGGGGGAAGTGTGGGATTTTTACCTCACTAAAACCGTCATGGTGGCTACCATCAGCCCCTATTAGCCAGTGCCCACTGGGTCCTATTTATGAGCTAAAGTCTGTTGGCTCATAGAGAATTCTTTAAAAGTCACATACATACATAACCTCAAGATGGGGGTAGACGAGAGACTATAGAACGCCAATTGCTACGATTCTCACATACCTCTTCGGCTTCATCAAGTCATCAGTCTTTTCATGCATGCTCGTCGGTTAAGGGTACTTTCAATTTGGTCTTTCTTTAGTATATCGCCAATCTGGTCAGTATATGTCTGTCTAGGGCGCCCTCTGCCGACGGCCCCATTTTATCGAACTCTCTGTAACTTTAAAAAACTATTTATTTCCTTTACAACAAAATGCTCCATTCGTTACTCTTTTTACCTCTGCTTATCCCTCCGGGGATAAAAGGCGTGGTGTTTTATTATGTTATGTTTAATTGATGATATATTGTGTACAGGGCCCCGCATGCGTGCTCCCGATCAACGACATCCGTGGCATCGAGGGCGTCGGTTACGAGAAGGGCGAGAAGATCCTTCGCTGCAAGCTCGCCGCCGTCTACCGCCTGGTCGACCTCTTCGGTTGGACGCAGAGTGAGTCTCCATACTTATTACAACTAGAATAAGTTGGTGAACGAGCAGACGTATCACCTAATGGGAAGCATCAGCGCCGCTCATAGACACCCGGAACACCAGAGGCGTTACAAGTGCGTTGCTGGCCTTTCAGGGATTAGGAATCTGAGGATTGTTTGGACTTCGGGGATTGGAGAGATTGTGGAGGGAGGGTAATTGGGCCTCCGGTAATCTCACTCACACAACGTAACACAACGCAAACGTTGTTTCACCTCACGTCGGTTTTCCGCTCGTTGGTGGTATCACTCCGGTCGAGCCGGCCTTATCGTGGCGATACATGGCTCTTCTAGCCTATATTTTCAGTTTTATAATCAAACCTAAATTCGTATATTTGAATCGACCTGCGTAATACTACGGTCGCACAGACGACTCACGTGGACCAATCAAAACGTTGTTAAGTGAGAGTACTTTTAGGAGAGGAACATTGGGCATCTATGGAGGGGAAAGGTCAGACACCCTTGAAATTCATCTGGTGTTACAGATGTTCATAGGGAATGCGTTGATTACTTTCTATTAGGTGATCTGTCAGGTAGTTTGCCCTTTAAGGCTAAGGACTCGCGAAGCGATTTTCTCGTCGGTTGGCGGGACGTAATGGGACGGCCGGTCTGGAACTCAACTGATGCTTTAACCGCCCGTCTTGTGACAATCAACCGCCAACTTAAAGGGCGATTATCACAACCACGGCGGCCGGTGAACGCAAAAAACTGCGGTGTCGTTAGTTTTCAAAGGCAAAGATCGCGCCTTGAGCCCTTAGTGTAAGGAAGAAAAAGGGGGATGGATAGTGACTGGGCAGGGTGATCATGCCAGACGAGCTACTTATTATGTTATTCATATTTCTTCACGAAGTAGATCTTTTTATTCAACTTCTCAAAAGGAGAAGTTTCTCAATCCGCCTGGATTTTGTTTTGTAGGACATTTCACTTTCTTTGTCTTTTAGCATAACATAAATAGTGGAAAGTGGGTGTTACGTTGTACAGTGGCATTAAGTGCCGTAATGTGCATATCTGCCTACCCCTTCGGGGATAAAAGGCGTGATGTTATGTCATGTTATGTGGTCCTTTAGCTATATGTCTATCATGATAATTAATTATTATGTTTTCGGCTTACTCACGTAATAATTTGACGAGGAACTCGACTAGTTTAAGCCATGCTAGAGGCTCATATTCATGAGCAGCATTTCGCGAACCGAGTAAACCGAAAACATAATAATTTATTTAGTATGTCTCACGAAAGTTATAATATATATATGATAATTAATTTAACAGAATATCTCATTAACATTATACATTTATCTCCTCCAGCCGGCAACCACGGCCAGATAACGGCTCGTCTGAACACAGCAGTGGAGTCAGTGCTGACGACGCCCCGCGGCCTGCTGCCGCACGAGGTGACGGCCTCCTCGCTCGTCAAGGTAGACATGCAGGGCGCCGTGCAGGACCAGGGCACCACCAACTTCCCCGTCAATGTCGATGGTGAGAACTGTCAGCTATTGTATGTTAACTGGATTTGAATGTATGGATGAATGTGATCTCGTAAGTAATAGTATTTATTTATTGCCTGTCGGGCAAGGGGTCTCGGGTTCGATTCCCTGGTCGGGCAAAGTATTACTGGGTTTAAAAAAAATCTCAGTAGTAGCAAGAAGTCTGGAATTGTGTCCTGTATATGGCAATAGACTCACCCCTTATGACATGGGAGTCATAACATAAATAGTTAAAAGTGAGTGTTACATTGTACAGTGGCAATAAGTGTCGTAATGTGCAACTTTCTTGTCGTAATGTGCAACTGTTTAGTTCTTTGGGGATAAGGGGTGTGATATTATGTTATTATTACATTAAGGATTTAGTATTATATTTTTGGAATTAAATTAATACTTTTTTGTTTCTGATTTTTCGCTTCGTCAACAGTCATCAGTTTTTTATGCATATGTTTGCAATAAGTAAAATTGTATTAGTTAAGATCTTAATATGAAGGTTTATTGTAAACTGTGCCTTTAGCCAAATACCACATTAGCCACATTAGTGCTGTCTACATATAGAATAGGAAACTAAATGGGGATGACACTGACAAAATTTATGTCAATTCCATATAATTTGGTTTTCTATTCTACATGTAGACAATTGCATGTAAGTAAAAGAAAGTCAAGAAATAAAAATAAGTATTGGTGGTGCAGGGTTCTCAGTGCACGCGTGTGTGCACGCGGCGCGGCCCGACGTGCGCTGCGTGCTGCACGTGCGCGCGCCCGCCGCGCTCGCCGTGTCCAGCACCAAGCGCGGCCTGCTGCCGCTGTGCCACGAGGCGGCCCTCCTCGGCGACGTGGCCTACCACTGCGTGCCGCCCGGCGTGCTGGACAACGCGGAGAAGGACAAGCTGGTGCGCGCGCTCGGGCCCAGCGCCAAGCTGCTGGTGCTGAGCGGCGCGGGCGCGCTGTGCTGCGGCGCCACGCTGGAGGAAGCCTTCCACCACGCCAGGAACCTGGCCGCCGCCTGCGAGGTGCAGCTCAGGCTCGCCTCTCTGCCGCTCGACGAGCTCACGCTCATGGATGAGGACACTCGTAGACAGGTGTGTGCTTGAACTTGTTTATTTTATGTTACATTAAATGGTTGTTATGGAAATGGTTTTGTAGTATATGCTAGTTAGAAGTGGTTATAGCACTTCTCTTTGAATTACTAAATTCTAAAGTAGTACCATTCTGAAATCACTATGGTGTTGCTGTATAATGCCATACTAGCATCAAAGTATTTTTTTATTTAACTTATTTTTTAATTATTCTTCAAGCATTAAAAAGAAGTTTAACACTGAAATACTAAAAGACTACTCAGTTTTTAAATTCTACTTAAATTTCGTGCCATATCTGTCATTTGCAAAGAATTTGTAGTGACAAAACTATACTAGTAAGTAAGTAAATAAATCATTTACGTAAAACATGGCATACATTGATGTTAATAATAAACTTAAGCGTGACTTAAAATTGAGTAGCGTTTCAGTATTCGGGCATAAATTTATTAAATGATCCAATATAAAATTTCATTTAGTTTTGTATAAAACATTAGCCACATTATAGCCAATTTGCAAACAGAGATATCATTTGATTAAAGTATACAGCTTACTTACGTGAACGAAGGAAGCTGTACTAGTCTATTACTCTTTATTATACTAAAATATCTATTATACCATTACAGTTTTACTAAATGTTTATATTTTATCGTAGATATACGAGGCATCTCGCAAGCCTCCGTCGGACGCGAGCAAGTGGCGCGTGGGCGGCGAGGAGTTCGAGGCACTCATGAGGATGCTGGACAACGCCGGCTTCCGCACCGGATACATCTACAGACATCCACTCATCAAGGTTATATTATATTCTAATTATATATTGTATTTAGGTTGCAAGTCGTTTGATAACTTACGGACGATCTTTATAACTAATTCAATCGTATTCTTACCACTCCGTTAGAATTGTTAAAAAAAATCTATAAAACAACATAGACTGAGGGCCGATTATTCCAACGCCAGATATATACTGATAATAATCTTTCGTTATCGGATCATGTTGAACAGCTGAACCAGGAGGCAGAAGTTGGTTGGACTACGGTACAAAATAAAAAGCCTAGTCGTTTGCCGAAAAAGGTGACAATTGGGAAAAACACGGAAATAAGCGGAATAACGGCTATGGAAAGGAAAAAATATCTACATGTATGGCGTCTACATCCTGAAACCACCCTCGAAACGTTAACCAGCTACGTCAAAAATCTATGTGGACCACAAGTGTCTATGAAGATCGACAAAATAAAACATAAAACACCAAGAGATTACTCGTCTTTTGTAATAGGAGTACCTGAAAAATACTACAACATGTTAAATAATGAGGAGGTATGGCCATTAAATACCGAGTTTAACGAATGGACTTGGTTTCGTAAACAAACGGCAGCCCCCCTCGATAAGTAATAGCGTAATTGAAATATATTACCAAAATGTTAGAGGACTTCGAACTAAGCTAGATAACTTCAGAAATAATCTTGAATCTTCCAACGCGGACTTATTTGCTATTACTGAGTCAGGCTGCAGTGAGTCAATACAAGACGCAGAAATTATTCCGGTGGGATATGGACTACTACGATGTGATCGAGCGGACGGGCGAAAGCAAGGCGGCGTGATTCTCGTGGCCACACACCGGTTCGAGCTGCGACAAATACCTATAACTGACGTGTCGATAGACAATTGTGTTTTCGAAATGATATGTGCTACGGTATATTTAAATAAACGTTTTTTGTTCGTGTGCTGTGTTGTCTATATTCCACCGGGTAGCTCAGAGACGGATTACTTGTTATTATTCGGAATTATTGAAAAATTATGCGATAGGTATAATGAAGTGTTGGTACTCGGTGATTTTAATTTGTACTCTTGTCCTGTTAACATTAATAATTATTACGAATGTTTTTTATCATATTGCGAATTCACTCAAACTAACGCAATACCTAATTGTTTGGGTCGGCAACTGGATTTGGTTCTGAGTGCGGGCATTAGCGGGGGAGTGACGGTGGGGGCGGCGGATCACGCGCTTGTGCCTGTGGACGCGCACCACCCGCCGCTGGCGATCAACGTGCGCTCTGCGCATGCTCCCGCGGTTTCGGCGGGCCCCTCCAGTGCGAGTAATATTAGTGCGTGCGATATTAGACCGAAATGGAATTGGAATAAGGCTGATTTTCAGTTGCTGTATTCTAAGTTGGTTTCTACTGATTGGAGTTCATTGTATGAAATGCGTGATTTGGAAGAAATGTTGAACTTCTTTTATGATAACATTAATAGTTTAATCAATGAATGTGTTCCACGGAAAAAACCAAGTAATCAAAGCTCACGATTCGTATACCCTGTATGGTATACGAGTGATATAATAAATAGTTTAAAAATTAAAGCCAGATTTCATAAACAATTCAAGAAATCCAAGTTGCATAGTGATTATATCAGATTTGCTGAGTATAGAACTTATATTAAAAAAAGTATAGAAATAGCACACAGAGAACACAGATACAAAATTCAATTTCAATTTAAAAAGGATCCAAAATCGTTTTGGCAATATATTAGGTCAAAAAAATCAACATTAAATAAGCATAGTATTGTAAGAGAAGGTCAACATTTAACGGATGATGAATGTGCGGAGCAGTTTGCAAGTTTTTTTGAATCGGTGTATAGCAAGGAGCCACCCGTACTGGACGCATGCGCGGCGGTAGCGGAGGCTGGCGCGACCAGTTCGCGGGTCCATATCGAGGCGCTAAGTCTGTCGGAGGTTCAGCAGGCGCTTGGAAATTTGAAACCGAAACGATCATCTGGTCCAGATGGTATTCCAGCGTTTCTATTTCGAGACTGCAGGAGGGTGCTGGCGGAGCCATTGCTACACATATTTAACACTTGTTTGGAACAAGCGACGTTTCCCTCCAGGTGGAAGACCACGCGCGTTATTCCGGTTCCTAAAGGGAAAACAGGTCCTGATATTTGTAATTATAGACCGGTGGCGGTACTATCGACGCCTGCTAAAGTACTAGAGTCAGCTATTCAGCGTTCCGTGCAGGGGCAAGTGCGAGCATGTTTATCCGATGCGCAACATGGTTTCAGGCCGGGACGGAGCACTACAACTAACTTACTCAACTTTATGGTGCAGGTGGTGCCGTCAGTTGACTCTGGAGTTCAGGTGGATGCCGCGTACTTTGATTTTCGAAAGGCATTTGATACCGTTGATAATGACGTTTTACTAAGAAAGCTTGCGAAGGTTGGATGTACGTTGCCTCTACTACAATTTTTCGCTAGCTATATGAAGGATCGCCAACAGTATGTGGATTACAACGGATATGAATCTCATCCGTACTATACTAGGTCGGGCGTGAGCCAGGGTAGCAATGTAGGGCCTCTAGAGTTCATCATAATGATAAATGACTTACCGGAAGTTGTCAGGCATGGAGTTGTTTATTGTTTGCAGATGACCTGAAGTTGCTACTCAAGGTTGAAGATAGCTCGGATTGTGAACGCCTGCAGGATGATATTAATCGAGTGGTTGAATGGAGTAATGTCAACAGGCTTCACTTTAACGTGGACAAGTGCTCGGTGATGTCATTTACTCGTGCTCGGGCTCCTTTGTGGCATCAATACAGGGTGAAAGGCGAGCGATGCAACGAGTCTCACAGGTACGAGATTTAGGGGTAGTCTTCACTCCAGAACTGACATTTCGTGAACACATCAATAAGATCTGTAGGAAGGCATACAGGAACCTGGGTTTTGTACTCAGACAAACTCAGGGGTTCACCAACATCACGACACTCAGGGTACTGTATGACACATTAGTGCGGAGTCACCTCGAGCACAGTGCAGTTATATGGGCACCGCACGAGGCGAAATACAGCGTCATGTTGGAACGCGTTCAAAATAAATTTACAAGGCACTTGTATTTCAAACTTTATGGAGTTTATCCATTTTACCCCCTGATGTACCCTACTCTATTTGTTCTGGGTATGGTAGGGTACAACGAGCTAAGGGTGCGGAGGGACTTTGCGCTGGTAGCGTATGTGGTGAAGCTGCTGCGCGGCGTAGCGCATAATCCGGGAGTGCTGCGACATCTGCAACTGTGTGTACCGGACCGGTATGTGTGGAGGCGGAGACGCCCGCCCTCCTCGCTGTGCCTGCGGCCAGAACCAACTTGTTGGCAAAGGCTCCCCTCACTAGAGCCATAAATGTCTTGAACGAAGTTCATGAAAGGGTAGATGTGTTGAGTTGCGGTGTGAGTGAATTTGTAAAAGTCACGTTGTACATATTATGCTACTCATAGGTTAGTTAAAATTATTATTAACTTATTTTAACTTTACTTTTACTGTATGTTTGTTAATTTTTATGTAGTAAGTAGTGCATCTTTGATCTCGTTAACGTGTATGATCTCATTTAGGTATTATAATATTTGTAATAGATTAATTTATGTTTTAGGAATCTTGTACTTGTTATACCTACTAGAGGTTAAGTATGTTGTATAATATGTAGATTTTTTAATTTTTAAATTTAAATTAGTAATTGTTTTTGTTTATTTTTTCTTTGTGTTGCAAAATTTTTTTTTGAGTTTAGTTGGTTATTGAGTTTAGTTTAGTCAAGAAATTGTTCATTTTTGTTTTTTAATTTATGATTTTGTTATAATTTGACGTAACATAGATTTAGTTTAAGGCCTAGCTATCGCAATGGAGAAACCTGTAATGGTAGTTTAGGTAAGGTTTTATATAAATAAATAAATAAATAAAAAAAATATTTTAACAGAGGAAAACTTTGAATATTTGACAATTCTTCCATACTAAAAACTGTCAAATGTCAATTTTATTGTCAAACACCAAGCGGTCACCGGTGACCGCGACCTATTGTTCTTTAATTGTGTCTATAAAACCGGTACTCGACGAGTTAACTGTTGATTGAAAAATCAACAAAAAAGTTTGTAGAATTTAGCTTTCACTGCGATATCACAGTTTGTCTATTTATTAATAAAAATCATTATTCACTTGTCTGGTGGCCATTTACTGCTTTTTTCTCTACTCAATATGGCAACCTAATGAATTAGCTTATTATGTATGTGTGTACAGAACGACGTCCCCCGTCCCAAGAACGACGTGGAGGTTCCCCCGGCGGTGTCCTCGCTGGGGTACTTGTTGGAGGAGGAGGAACTGTACAAGCAAGGGTAAGCACGACTGTATTATTTAATAAACGAAATAGTGACATATATGGGGTTAAATAATAAATAAATAAATAATCAAGTAATCAAGTATTTATTGCATCCATAATGTACATATACAAGTGGTTAGAAAATAAATTATGTAAAAAAGTAACAATTATGGACCCTGTCGGGCACAGCATTATTTAAAATTGGTAGGAGAGAGGAAGGGCACTTCGTTAGATTATTATTAATATACCTAATCAAAAATTAATAAAAAGAAAAAGTTATTGTAAATCCTGTATTAAATTTTATTTAGTTTAGTTAGTATAGTGTAGTTAGTATTAGGTACTTATTTATATAAGTAGTTTATTATTTAAATTATACTATATTATATTTTAATGTCTATTTTAGGAATTCGTCTAGGGTGTAATAACATTTTTTAATCATTTTTTAATGTTTATTTGGTGTAAAAAGCCAGATTACAAAATAAATCTTATTATCTAGGAAAAGTCGTAAGTTTATATAAAACCTGAACTAGGTACAAGCCTGTGTTTCAGGCTAAGAATGTGCTGACTAAATAATAATATACCTAACCATCATCACCTGGACTATTGGTGCAGTATTTGGAAGATATGATTCAGCGCAACATGTCGCGGGTTCGATTTTAGCACTCAATGACTGTGGATCACACGAAGACTTGCGCTGTGTGGGAATCAAACCCCGCGACACGTTGCGCGGCAACCGGCTGCCCAGCCACCGCACCAACCGTGCCATTAATTATTTTCGATACATTTATTCCGCACAATTAACTTATAATTTCTTACATCATCTGTTCCCAATGTCCCCAGATTGTGGAAGAAAGGCCAAGGCAAGACGGGTGAGCGCACTCGCTGGTTGAACTCGCCCAACGTGTACCAGAAGGTGGAAGTACTGGAGACGGGCACTTCTGACCCGAAGAAGATCACCAAGGTAGAATATCTAAAGATTGAGGCCGAGTAGACGAGTAGACCAGTAGACGGAAAGACGAGAAGACCAGTAGACCGTACTTTGTAGGCGTTTAGAATGAGTTAAAGAAGACCAAAGATTCGTTATTCAATAGTAAACACTATTGCCATCATCAACTGGTGGTGACAGTCCATTGCTGGCATCAACTGGGGGTGACAGTCCACCGCTGGACAATGAGTCAAAGTTGTCGAAAACCAAAGAAAGATTTATAAATGTCCGGTGTCTAAATAATGTCAAAAACTAAAGTGTTAGTCAGTCCTCTAGTTGCTATATTTGCTTCATCCAAGGCGTAGATTCCTATGGAGAAGAACGAGCAAGAAACTCCATAGGTTACTTCTTTTACAATCAGGTTCACAATACAATTCTTGGTTACATTGTTTCGTTGATTCAAATATGTGAGAACAAATAGACTTTAATATTTAAGAGCATATGAATAAAGCATAAAATTGAATACAATGCTCATTCTAAGCGACTCAAATGCGTCTAAACGTCTTGTAAGGAAAGGTCCTATATTTGATTCCCATCGGTTACAATTATGAAGGCGTACAGGCTTGCTGTGATTTTTACAAGTTAAAAATAACAGTTTAAGTCCGAAAATTTGGCGTAAAAGCATAGAAATTTTGAATTGTGTGAACGAGATAGAGTGACCTGTCTCGCTCTGTAGGCGTAACATAATGTCCAGACAAAGATTCTTCATAGATTACATTATTAGCTTCAAAAGTAGAGAACTATTGAATATAGTGTTGATATAAAATCTGAGGAAGTAGTACGATTTATTTTACGTTTAAGTCGATTGAAATGTTGCCGCGTTTAGCTCTCTGATTGATTCGTTGATTCATTAACAGCCTATAAGTGTCTACTGCTGACCAAAGCCCTCTCCGCACACGGAGAAGGTTTGAGCATTAACCACCACGCTTGCTCAATGCGAGTTCAGATGATAAGTTCAGGTATCCTCACGATGTTTTCCTTCACCGTTTGTCAGTGGTGTCTAAATAATCTTAGAAAGTACATATAACTCGGAAAAAGTCACATTGGTACTTGCCGTTGGTGGGTTTCGAACCCTTATAAATGAGAGCGGGCGTCTTAAAAGGTTGGTTCGTTGGCGCTGGCCAATCAGAGCGTCGAACGCGCTAACGTTTCGGTCTCGTTGAGCCTAAAATAAATTCGTAATCAAAATTAATGAGCCCTCTGTCTAATGAAGTCTGTAAAAGTGTCTATTAACTTCACTGACAGATATTTTGAATGTTAAATCTTTAAGTTATAACTTCTTATATAAACTACTTTTCAAAGAACCCACTTCAATACCCTCTTTTATTGAAGACTATGAAGGAGGCCCAATTGCTACTACGAAAAATCGGCGCTAAAACTTTTAATATTTCAAAATAGATGGACATTACCAGCTTTCTACAATCTTATATTGTAGTATTTGTTTAAATATTATGATTCATATAAATATATCAAAGTACATTTATATAGGTGATAGTCGAAGTAACAAATATATGAATCCATCCTTCTATAATAATAGTAATCGCAATAATATATCGCCAACATCTAAATCTGTACGTCAAAAAAAAAATAATAATAATTAGATTTAGTTTTGCAGTCATTTCGTAATATATGAACAAGATGTTTACTTATTATATTTCACAGCTTGGAGTCGTTGAACGATTACTCAATCTATTCGTCAATAACAATTGTGTACTTGGCAACTATATAGTCAAATTTAATAATATTTTTTCGAACTGTCAAAAACGACAGTTTTCTATAAATTTTGTACGAGATTGTCGTTATCCGAACAATTATTGGGTACTTTCTTTAATCAAAAATAAATTATTTCGACTGTTCAATACAATAAAATGTTAAAAATATAACACATTTTCATTAATTGATTTTATGACCGACTTAATGTCAATATTTTTCCAGCAAATTCTTAACAAATAAGTATGCTGTTTGACGCTAAAAAGACATGTCGTCACAATACACAATCTCGCACAAAATTTATAGAAAACTGTCGTTTTTGACGGCTCGAAAAAAGTATTGAATTTAACTAGTTTTCAAGTACCCTATCTCGGCCGCAAGTAATCTTTGTTCATATGTTACTGAAATACTTTATATAAAAGAATATAACAACGTATATAATAATATATTAATAGATTTATATTTATTATTTAGAATATATTTTTACCGATTTCGCAAAATTGTTGGCTTTGGAATAGTTTCGATGTGACTTTAAATAATATTGAGCTAGTTACGGCCGTTTGTTCAACACGTTAAACGCCACGGCGGTCACCGGTGACCGACGTTAGCGGAGGATTTACCTTCAACAGTTTTTTATTGGCAGTCAAAGGCTTAAGTAATTGAGAGAGCTCGACTCATTTCAAGCCGTGAACAGGCCTCATAATCCTAGCATTTACAGATCTTAGAATAGGGTAGTTTCCTAAATTTTATTTTAATGTCCGTCTGGTACATTAGAACTTTAGACACGTATTTTTTCTTTTTTACACAAAATTAAATACTTTCGACGATATATTAATTTGAAATATCGTGTGACGTCACAGCGTGTCACATTTTGTAGCACGTTATGACGTAACGACCTCCCACTTCTAAACTTAGCGTCATTTTATCTAAGTATTGGAACTTAATACGAGTAAATAACTGACGGACTAATTAGATTTTTATTCTATTATGTCCTATTATGTGCAATATGGCGATTTTCTGAAATGAAAATATTTATAATTATTATCTAACTGTCTCTTTGAGAGTAAAAATGGCGTATAGACGTGTTAACAATATTGAAGTTAATTACTAGAAAATCTTATAACGCTTTTGTGATGTTGGGAATGTGTAATAGTACTATTTTGCGAAGTCGGTAAACCAGAATATGTTTATGAGTAAAATGATAATGTAAACGTTAACGTAAATCACAATATTATAGTCACAAAGAGTTTATTATTGTTTTTTACGGGACTAATCTTGTATTTTGTACTCTTCACGATATCTCGAGTGAAGTATTTAACTATGATATATTATCTCATTTTTCTAGTACATTCCAGTTCTATTTTTAATATGTTTTTGATGATTTTTTTTCGGGTTTTTTTTATTCTTTATGGGACGGTGGCGTTTATATACGTAATTTTTTTCTTAATTTTTTTATGGGATTTTTTTTTATATAATCGTTGGTATAGAGTGTTTAAAAAAATAGTCTACGTATAGTAAATAAGAGTTTGTGCTAATTTCTAGAGCATTTTTCGTTAAATTTCGCGCTCAAAATGGCTCAAAAAAATCTTTCTTTTTTCTGTATTTTTTTTTGTTTTAACGTGCTATCATCGAATTTTTTTATCTAAAAAAAGTATATTTTATTAATCAGATTATTTTAATATATTATTACGAGATTTTTTGTATAATTCGCTTAAAGCTATACTTGTGTGTGAGATTTTATAATTTTTATTTGACACTAGTCCTGAATTATTTGGCAAAAACTTTTTTGTTTTTTTTTTTAAATTTTTCTTGGTTAACTAAAAATCGCGGGTTACTCGCGTGAATGTATTGAGAAAAACGAGTAGGGTGCGTGACATCGCCGCGACCGCGCACGCTGCTCATGAGGAAGAACCCCTCTGTGGTTCAAAACTCAGTATATTTCTCAGTATATTCACGTGAGTAACCCGCGATTTTTAATTAATTTTTAAAGATTGTGTAATAAAAAAATAGTTTTTGCTACATCGGGACTGTGTATTCTAAGCTTATTGATAACAATTGTGCTTCTATAGATATGTTTAAAAACAAATTAAATAATTTGAAATCAAAATTAACATCTATTTTTGCTTCACTCACAATATGAAATGCTTTTGATTGGAAATTTTTACGCGATGTTTTCTACTTTTTTTTTACTAAGATTTTGTTTTTTTTTTGTTTTGTTTTTGTAACTAATATAATAATGTTTTGCAGTGGGTGGATGCTAACAACGACGAGGTAATTTCGACTCTATTTTTTTATTAAAATGAATTTAATATTATTTATTTTTTATATGTTTTTGACTTAATTCTATGACTTAATGTGTGTGACGAGTTAGAAGGTTCATTTTGTACTTCGTAATGTATGTTTTGTCTATCTTATTCAACAATTTTTTCACCTTTTGCTTACGGTGTTCCCGAAAGTAGAACAAATATGGTCATAGGTCAGGATATGTAATTAAACTGCATCAAAGTACCTACATAACTGTGTTCCACTATAAAACAGGCACATATTTTATGTAATGCTCGGGTTCGAGTATTACTGGGTTTTTTCAAGAAATCTCAGTAAGTCTGAAAAAAAAATGGCAATAGGTTCACCCCCTATTACATGGGACTCATAACATAAATAGTGGAAAGTGGGTGTTACATTGTACAGTGGCATTAAGTGCCGTACAGTGCACCTCTGCCTACACCTTCGGGGATAAAAGGCATGATATTATGTTATTTTTATATTAGCGCAATTTATCGAATATCTCAGCCGCTTCCTCTTTGATTCACACAAACTAGAATAACGCTGAAATACTAAAATACCACTCAAATTTAAGTACCGGTTTACCCCTTTGAGTACCGTCACTATAGACACAATTAAAGAACAATAGGTTGCGGTCACCGGTGTCCTCGCGGTGTTTGACAGTTTAAAAAGTCCCTATCACTACAAATTCTTTGTAAAATGACAGACGATATTTGAGTACAATGTAGGCGTTAGATAGGTATATGTTTCAATCTCGCCAACACAAGTCAAGTCATAGGAATTTAGTCACACATCTCTTTCTATCTTCTTCTCATTTTCAAAGCTTCTTCTAACTTATCGGGTGTTCTGGATTAATCTATAAATATAATAATTATATAATATAAAGTCTAAATTACCAATACGAAGAATTTACTACTATTTTTTTGATACAGTCAACAGCATTTCATACTTACCCTGGTTCAATGAATAAAATTGAATTTTATTCAAAAACATCGAGTTTGTACAGTGTTTCTGTTAAAAAAATTGGTAGGAATGTTGCCACTTGTTGTGAAAAATATTTACCTTTCTCCTGCACGACCTTTCGTTTCTCCTGTCTCCTGTAATCCGTGCTTGTGCACATGTTAATGCGAGATTTAGGGTTTTATACCCGTGTTATGCTGTTTTTTATTTTCATGAAAATCGAAAAAAATATGTTGATCGATTTTTTTTTTGTTTTTAGTAGCTTGCCCCTCCCTTTTTTGAAGTTAAGTTTTAAGGAATGTTAAACATAATGCTTCAGTTCGATTTGTTAGTAAATAAGCTTTGCATGCGGTGTCACCTGTATCTCTGCTTATGCCCGTATTGCGTATAATCTGTACTGTACATGCTCGATGTTCCACCAGGATTTTTTGAGAAAAAAAAAACTTGAGCCATTTTTTTTTATTTTTTCCTATTTTTTTCTTCTACGCACAAACGTTTTTCTATTTTTCTTGATTATTTATTATTTTATATATAAATGCCACCTCTCCATATCCTATACTAACCCCGTTATAAGCGAAAGTCAATATATATTTTGTCGAATATTTTTTGATTTTTTGCTGAACACGCTGGCAACATTTTTACTAATTTTTCTTTTTTTCTCTTTTTTTTCTATCACGATTGGTGACATCGGAACGGACGGATACTACATGAAAAACACTTTACAAATTATATGATATATAAAATGATATGACACGAACATAATGGAAACAAAATATGAAATCAAATAATGGAAATATATTCCGAATATATGAAATTATATGGTCACATTGAGTTTGGTAAAACAACTGATAATTATGAATGATATTAAAAAAAAACAACAATTAAATAACCGACCTATGTACAAACGATTGGTCTACAAAAAAACAAATGAAAAATTTGTTGGTACTTTCAAAAATCAATAACCAATTTGTCTACAAAAAAAAAAAACATTTGGTTAACGAAACAAAACATTGGGTTCCCACAAATAAAAACAACATTTTGGAACCTCAAAAATATAAAAATTTTGGAACTATGTGGACTTCAAAATCGTCACATCTGGGTGACCATAATGGTGCTATACATGGTCATGGGTATGTGACACCCAGTGGGTGCAGGACGGTTCCCCCGCGCACTCCAGCACTCCGGTCAAGATCGACACGCTGCAATTTGTCCCCAAGAACACCAACCCGAAGGAGTTCAAGGCGTTGCAGCAACAGGTGAGCTAATTATTATCCTTACTAATATTATAAATCGGAAAGTGATGGCGCTGTGTGTATTGATATACATATGTCACATAGGCTACTTTTTATCATTTTGTGACGCGAGCGAAGCCGCGGGTGAAAGCTAGTTATTTATATTCATCAAACTACGTATAAAAAAACCGATTACAATCTCGTTTTTTTTTAGTTTTTAGTCTACAATGTACTCTTAAATGAAATTAATTCCTTTTCTGAATATAGCATCAAAATCGGTCGGAATAAAATTTGTGAAATAGTCGATAAGTGGGAGTTTAAAATAATAAGAATAATTTTCAATAATGTTATGTATGTAGGTATTTTTTATATCATTTGTCCAGTCATCGACTTACCTTTGTATCATATTGACTGACATGACTGCGGCTGGGTAACTGGCTTAACGTATAGCTGGTTCGATTCCCGCACCAAGCAACTCTTTGTGTGATCCACAAATTGTTATGTCATGTGTATGTGAACTTGTATGTTTGTAAACGCACCCACGACACAGGAGAACATCCTAGTGCGGGGCAAAGTTATATTAAAAGAAAGTATACTGTTATTATCAATTCCTAGTTCCTATAGTTATGAACTTTAAGTGAAAATACTAAATTTCAAACCTACTATTTGTGTAATTTATTTTTCTAGTTCGAGTCCTGACTTAAACATAGTTTTATCGACTTTCCAATATCAAAAACTCCAAATCACTAACACAATCATACAAATTGACCTCAGATTAAAGAAAACCGTCGCGCGGACAAGATCAGCGCTGGACCCCAGTCGCATATACTGGAGGGGGTCACGTGGGACGAGGCCAGCAAGCTCATCGGGGAAGACGCCGTCAATACACACACCGGGGACCATGTCGTGAGTACATACATACATAACTTCACGCCCGTCTCCTGTGGGGGTAGGCAGAGACTACAACGCTTTTATTACGATTCCTACATACCTCTTTCGCTTCATCAACAGTCATCAATCTTTTCATGCATGCTCGTCGGTCATATATATATTTATATTTGATGGGCCGACGTTTGACCACTATCTCGCCTGGTGGTAAGCGATGATGCGGTCTACGATGGAGTACGTCGTCCCAGAAGCAACCTATTCACTCGGGCCTTGAAGACACCCAGGTTATACCCTTCAGGAAACACAGACTCTGGCAAAGAATTCCACTCCTTAGCAGTACGTACAAGGAAGCTTGATGCGAAGCGCTTCGTGCGTGTGGGCGGGACATCTACTATGAATGTTGCCAGACATGTCGACCAAAGTCCGCCAACGTTGCTAACCTAACCTAACCCAACGTCGCTGGCGACACGGGTTGCAGGACATTTTTGTCCCCTATTGTACCCTTGGCTTGCATGCTGTTCAATTGGGTATTTTCCTGGGTGAAAAATAAATTATTTAAATTTTTCAATCCAATTAAATATTCAATCGTAATTACAATTTCATTTATATATCTGACGATACTTAATATTCAATTTATTCTAGCAATTTTTTCAGAAATAAGTGTGTTATTTTACTCGAAAATGTGATGACGTCATAAGTAAGTTTTTGGTACAGAATTCATAGAACAATATCGTTTTTGACGTTTCGATAAAAGTATTGAATTTGATTAATTGTAAAATACCGTATTCAAATTTATTTATTTATTTATTTATAATTCATGGAGGACTTACAGCTTATAAAAATGGATAAAAATAACAATAGGCGTAGGTCACAATGAGCCAATAACAAGTCCTCACGTTTAGCGTTTGGAATAAATTAATTAATATGGTGTGAATACTATACGATATTAAAAATACATTCTGCGTAAATGAAAAAAATAAATATTGAAATAGACCGTACAGACAATATGATTATAAACAGATCAAGAGAAACAAATGATGTATAAACTTGTCGTGAGACCTAAGTATCTTATATTTGTTATTAATTTGATCTTGTTTTCTGTTGAAGCAGCAAGTGTTGATGGGCGCCGCGTCGAAGGGTATCATCCAGCGCGGCTACCAACACAACGCGGCCGTGTACAGCGCGCCGTACGCGAGGAACCCATTCGACCACGTCACCGACACAGACATCGACGAGTACAGACGCACTGTCGAGAGGAAGCAACGCTCTGATTGTACGTACACCTTTCTAATATATTTTTTCACAGGACTATATAGACCGCTACAACCTCCCAAAACCGCTGAAACTCCTGTATACCAGGATCTACAGTAGATACAATCATACAAACACCGCAACACTGAAGTCCAATATCTCAGGCACATGAATAACTGACTGAAGATATAATTAGAGAAGAAAAAACATCTGACTAATATTATAAATTAGTTTCTGCCAGCGACTTCGCCTGCGTTCCCGTGGTATAAAAAGTATCCTATGTGTTATTTCAGACCATAATGTACCCCTGTTCCAAATTACATCCCGATCCCTTCAGCCATTTTGACGTGATTGAGTAACAAACATACACACACCTTGTACACAAACTTTTTATCCCATGGGAATGCGGGCGAATACGTTAGCCAGTATTTTATGTCGCAGAGAACCTAACGGGTTACCGGGGCTCCGGCTCGACGTGCAGGAGAAGGAACGGGGTGGTTTTTAGTCAGTAAGAGTCTGACACTCCCTCCCGCCTCACCCACGCGGGAGAAGTCATTCGATGATTTTCCCCCCTTAAAAAAAAGCCAGTATTTTATACACAGTTCTTTACTTTAAACGTTACCAACGTTGATCGGCGATAGAAATATCGTGAAACATAAAGAGCCCGTACTCAGCGATTATGGGTAAAACTATGTATCTACAGTTGCCCAACTATCGCGTAACTAGTTGCGCAACAGTTGATCTATTTAAAATCTTCGATTTATATTGTACAAAGTTGGCTGTGAATTACCAGATACCTAACGGTAGATTGTTATGTTGCAGACGACACGGACCTGTCGGAGTCGGAGGCAATCAGCGCGGCACAGATCACGTCGCCCGCCAGCGCGCCCTCCGAGACTGAGGAGGAGTCGCGCGACGGTAACTGACAACTACTATTTATTTATTATATTAGACTGTAGTTATTAGAGCCATATTTTTAAGTGTGGGAGAGCCATGCTTCGGCACGAATGGGCCGGCTCGACCGGAGTGATACCACGGCTGAACAGTAAACCGACGTGAAGCAACGCTTGCGTTGTGTTTCGTCGTGTGAGTGAGGTTACCGGAGGCCCAATTACCCCCCCCCCCTTTCCCAATCTCCCTAATCCCTGAATTCCCAACGATCCTCAAACTTCTAATCCCCAAAAGACCGGTAACGCACTTGTAACGCCTCTAGTGTTCCGAGTGTCCATGGGCGACGCCGATTGCTTAACATCAGGCGTCTGCTCGTTTACCGGCTTATCTATTTATTTATTTATTTATTTATTTATTTATAATTCATGGAAGACTTACAGCTTATAAAAATGGATAAAAATAACAATAGGCGTAGGTAACAATGAGCCAATAACAAGTCCTCACGTTTATGATCTGGAATAAATTAATTAATATGGTGTGAGTACTATACAATATTAAAAAATACATACATTCTGCATAAATGAAAAAAAAAAGAATAATACTGAAACAGACCGTACAGACAATATAAATAACAATATAATAAATAGATCAAGAGAAACGATAAAAAAAAAACTAAATATCTAGTGCTGCTTAAAAAATTTGAGGCTTAAGCACCTCTTTGCCGAGTTCACACTAGTTGTAAACGGATCGAAGTCATATTCCTTACAAACATTGTTAAAGTGTCTGCTTGCACGCACAATGTAACTGTTCTGCCTGTAGTTAGATGAGGAACGGGATACGTGTAAAGGTGGATTAAATCTAAATATTTTATTAGGTACATTAAATTTGATTTTTGATAATAGTTCTGGACTATCCACATTGCCGTTAAGAACCTTAAACAAGAATAGACAATCTGCAATATTGCGTCTATCTACTAATGGTAATAGATGGAATTTTCTACAGAGTTCAAGATAACGGGCAGACTGGTATGGTATATTTTGGTGAAAGCAGAGATATTTTATAAAACGTTTTTGAATGTTTTCCACGCGGTCAATATATTTCTGATATCTTGGATTCCATACCTGAGACGCATACTCCAGCTGGCTCCTGACATAAGTGCAATATAGTATTTTAAGGGTCTTTGCATCGGTGAAGTTTTTTGAAAGACGCATTATAAATCCAAGCAGTTTAGAGGCTTTTTTGACGATTGCATCAATATGTGTATCGAAAACCAATTTGCTGTCTTGATGGACGCCTAAGTCACGGATTGTAGCGCATCTTGGTAAGGACTGACCCGCTAAAGTATAATTAGTGACATGGACAGTGCGCTTTCTAGTGTAAGTGACTACGGAACACTTAGATGGGTTGAGATCCAGTTTATTCATCCGACAGTACTCTTCAAGCCGATGCAAATCCGCCTGGAGTGCCAGACCATCATCAGGAGTTGAGATAGTAGCTGACAGTTTCATGTCATCAGCAAAACATAAAAGTTTGGATGTATGAAAGCACTTGTTGATGTCGTTTACATAGATCACGAATAGAAAAGGACCGAGCAACGATCCCTGAGGTACTCCGCTGGGTACATTTACCCAGCTAGAAATGTAGTAATTGAGTACTACTGCTTGTGACCTATTGTCGATGTATGAAGCGAACCACCTCAAGAGGTCGCCGCTGATGCCTGTGTCAATAAGCTTCTGTAACAGGATATCGTGGTCAATCCGGTCAAACGCCTTGCTGTAATCTGTGTAAACCACATCAACCTGCTTACCTTTATCCATAGCATCCGTGACAGAGTCATTAAAAAGAATTAGGTTGGAAATAGTAGACCTCCCTCTCAAAAATCCGTGTTGAAAGGAGTTAAATGAATTGGCCAAGGCGGAGTATAACTGCTTGTAGACAATCCTCTCAAATACCTTAGCTATAATGCACAATTTGGAGATAGGCCTATAATTAGTGATCTCGGTTCTTGACCCCTTCTTATAAACCGGCGTAATAAAGGCGGCTTTCCATATTTTGGGGACTAAACCTTGAGTCAGCGATTTAGAAAACAGAATGGAGATAGGTATGGCAATGGAAGGTGCGCATTTTATAAGCAATTTAGACGATATTTCATCAGGGCCAGCACCCTTCGCTGGGTCTAGATTACGTACTAAAGCGGCTACTTCATCCGCCTCAATCCTAATGTGGTAAATGTCAGATAAATTACCGATAACAGTCGAGGTGGCGGCCGGGACTCGTGAGGAACTATCAGACGAAGTGCGACACAGGAAGGTGGACATGAAATAAGAAGAAAAAGCCTCGCAGATAGAATCCCCAGTAACTAACGTGTTACCATTGTAGTTCAATGTATTAGGTACGGTATTAGAGTTATGGCGATTTTTAACAAAACTCCAGAAGTGTTTAGGGTTAGTTTTAATGGAATTTTCAGTATGTGTCAGATATGATTTGTAACATATATCCTCCATAGTCTTAACTCTATCACGTAAACATTTGAAAGTTGTCTCGTCTGATTTATTACCATATATCTTAAATTTTCTTAAGTATTTATATTTTTCTTTAATAGTTTTTACAATTGACGAGCTGAACCATACTGGATATTTATTATTGCGTATTAACTTTTGTGGTATAAACTTCTTTTCTAATGATTTTATTGTACCAATAAAAAAATCAACTGATTCATCAAGCGACCGAACCGAAAATTCAGCCTCCCAATCGATAGCAGCAATCTCTCCATTAATGGAATCAAAATCACCCCTACTGTAAATATACCGCAAACGCGGCGCATGGTCAAGGGGAGGTATTTCAAAGATATCAATATTAATTAATAATGCAGGATGATACGGGTCAATAGGTACTAGAGGATCAACACATTCACTAACACAGGCTAACTTATTTGAGAGGACCAAGTCCAAAAACTTGCCATACCCGTTAGCAACCCCATTAAACTGTACTAAGTCCATTGTAGATAGCTCATCAACAAATAAACATTCGTCACTAGTGGTGGGATTTAACGGGGCCATAGAATGATCATTAGAAGGTATCCACGTGATACCACTCATATTAAAATCTCCTAAGACTAAAAATACGTCGGTATTTGTTCTATATAGAATTGCATTGTTTAATTTAGAAAGGAAGTTGCTAAGCTGTTGCGAGAACGATAACCCTTTATTTTGTTTACACAAATACACTGCACAAATGTATAAATTGACGTATTCTCGTGACCCTGAATTTTTTAGCTGCAATTTGATCCAGAGATCCTCCGCTGATGAATGCAAAAGTGATACTGGAGTGACTGACAATTCCCTGCGCGTTGCTATAAGTACACCACCACCTCTCGTTTGGCCGGTCATAACATAATCTCTGTCACGGCGCCATACCAAATAGCGACCATCAAATAGCTCCGAGTTTAGTACTCCATCCAATAACCACGTCTCCGTTATGATAATAACATCATAAGAAACAATAATCCCATAAAACAACGGATAAAAACAATACCCTTCATTCAGTCGGGTAAAAAAATCTTATTTTATTACATTCTTAGCTGACGCGACGAACTTCGGGCAGCGTCAATTTTTTTTTCTCATCGTTTATGAACAATTCAGCCGTTCTTGAGTTTTAACGAAACTTATGAACGGAAATTCATTTTTATTTATATATAGATTACTAAAAGGGCTCATAACTCCAGACATATATTCATGTGCGCACGAAATATTCGATTTAAAATAACTTAGCATTTGTTATATTTTTCCAGAACACCGCGTACTAAGAATAGAGACGAAACAGGCGCCTGTACGCAGCCAACCAGAGGTCGTACTCAGCGATGGTAAGTTACAATATCGGTCAACTAATTGCCAAACTAGTTGTCCAACAGTTACACAACTGTCTTAAGCAGAACCACTACAATTATAACTACCGACTTTTAAGGACATTTTGGTTTTCATAAACCTATGAGTGACACCCATCAGTACAAGTAAGCGGTTAGTTTAGGTGCTACTTAGTAAAGAGAAGGTTGTTCCGACCAATTTAAGGGTGGTTGGTATAAAGTATTAAGTAATAATTGAGTAACTATCGCCCAGCTAGTTGTGCAACTGTTGCCCAACTAAGAGTTGTCTGTTAATTAGTAGTTTTAGTATGCAAGTGATTGCGATTGGGATTTTTATTTACATTTTGTAGTGATTGTTATGTATTTGGATTTTTTTATAACTTTGGTGATTACCGATTTGTCATTCATGGGGATTTGTATAGTGGGTTTGTTGGTTGTGTCATAGTTGGTTATAGCATTTTGCCTTTTATATAGAAACTTATGCGTTTATGGTCTAGCGGTGTCTTGACGGTAATTCGGTTCGATTTTCGTAAAAATGTAATTTTTATGGTAATTTTCATTGTGGCTCTGAATCACTAAATTATGCATTAAGAATGTCACTTTGAATAGCTCAATAATACTTTAACCGATTCCGGACTAAGCGTTCAACAGACGCTTCTGTCACCACTAGACTATAAAAGATATAATGATGTAGATATTATTAGATCGCATAGATATTAATTATAGATTATACCAACTATGATATAACCATATTAAAAATAAATACAGTAAAACGGGGTTAATAGAATTCGAGGGGTGAATAAATACAGAAGAGGGGTGAATAAATGTTGGCAAAATCCCCCTCCCTCACTCACCTCTCACTCCTCACCCCTCAAATTCTATTCACCCACTTTTACGGATCATATACAAGTATGAAATATGGTCATTTTTGGATAGCTGAGTCTTTAATGAGAATGGAGAATTCTTTGGAAGCACGATCTCTTTCTCTTTTCTCCCCCCCTTTTTAGTACCTGTGAGGATTGGTGTGTTTGTTTTATTAAAATTGGTATATGTTGCTATATTATATGGGATTTATAGCGTAACTGCGATGGCCGTGTGGTCGCAAGTGCGACTGCCGGGCAAGGGGTCTCGGGTTCGATTCCCGGGTCGGGCAAAGTATTACTGGGTTTAAAAAAAATAATCTCCGTAGTAGCACGGAGTCTGGAATTGTGCCCGGTATATGGCAATAGGCTCACCCCCTATTACATAGGACTCATAACATAAATAGTGAAAAGTGGGTGTTAATTCTGTGTGCACCTCTGCCTACCCCTTCGGGGACAAAAGGCGTGATGTTGTGTGTAACGTAACTGGTGACACGTGGGTGTTACATTTGAACTGGGAGCTTATTTAAGGTGAACATTATTTCATATTTCTTACAGTGTCCAATTCATTCTGGTACTAATGGTACAAATTCGATTTTTTCGTCAGAAAAAGTATGTATCTATTTTTTATGGAGTAACCCGGTAAACAAGCTGATGAGTCACCTGATGGTAAGCGATCGGCGTTGCCCATGGACATACGCAACTCCACAGGCGTTACAAGTGTGTTGCCGGCCTTTTGGGAATTAGGTTTTTTATAATAACTATCGTGAGACATACTAAATTAACTAAAAGCCCCTGTGTCTCGAAACTAATAGAGCTTTACTTAGTGTATTCACGGAATTTTTAGCTACATTGAGGATTTTTGGAGATTCGGGGATGGGGGAAAATATGCTATTTAACCGATACGACCATCAAACCTTTGAGAATAGCGCGTAATCCTTTTTATAAGGTCGGAAACGCATATGTGGCGGCTCTGGTGTTGCGGGTGTTCATAGGCGCTGATCATTACTTACTATCAGGTGATCCGTCTGCTCGTTTGCCTCTATTTCCATAAATTAAAATACTTTTGAGATGACAAACAAACTCGCCAATCCTTACAGTTTCTACTGAATCCATATAAACAGGCATGATGACATTACCTACTCCAACTATATATACATATATAGAATGATTGCATGTGTATGTTTGTAAACGAAATCGTATCGGTACCTTCTAGTGGACACGACCGATTTCTTGGCTGCCGAGCGAGCTCACACCGATCGGACGAAAGGTTAGTTCATAGTAGACTTGATTCTAGTGTATCTATGTTGAATACAAATTTTTTTAGTCTATTTTACTGTGGAAGATTTTGTATGATTCATCGTGTAGTAACGGCGAGTTCAATATTATAAGGATGTTTTTTGCAAATGTGACTGCCTCGTTGGCCGAGTGGTCGCAAGTGCGACTGCCGGACAAGGGTTCTCGGGTTCGATTCCCGGGTCGGGCTAAGTATTACAGGTGTTTTTAAAAAAAAATATTAGTAGTAACACGGAGTCTGGTATCGTGCCCTGTATATGGCAATAGGCTCACCCCCTATTACATAGGACTCATAACATAAATATTGAAAAGTGGGTGTTACATTGTACAGTGGCATAATGTACACCTCTGCCTACCCCTTCGGGGATAAAAGGCGTGATGTTGTTATGTAAATAAATAACCAAAATCTTTGGGTTTTGTAAGTTTTCAACCGACTTCCCAAATAAGAGGATGTTGAAGTATGTTTTTAACATTAGTTCTATTGTATTTTTGTTTAGACTAGATTCTACCTAGAGCGATCCAGAGGTTATAGAATGAGATCGGTTATCTCATCCTTTCCTGACGCCATTAATTAACAATATTAAAAAATTGGTTGCCTGTAAAGTCGGTATACGGGCGAAAGTTTTACGTGACAACGACTTTGAGTGGTAAAATGACGCGTGCCTTTCACTTTTTATGTCTGTCTCTCTCGCTCTTAGGCGGGCTAACCATGCCCGAGTGGAAGGGACGCGTGCCTCTCACTCGCTTTCATTGTGAGCGCATAACGTGAGCGGAGCGTAACGCAGTTTCTTGAAGTGTCACCCGGCAAACCAAATTATAAGACGTTGTCACGTCAAAATCGATGCTAGTACTCGAAAGTCAAATGTGACATGTTTAATATTCAAAGGCTCGAAACAATATTTTCGTACATATAATTCATACGAAATCTTCCACAGATTCTCTTTTATTCTATTAATATCTTGCATGCATGTAAAAAGCTGGTATAACACTTGCAACTAACTTTTTATCTATCAATGCTAATCTTTACACGATTTGTTTTCAATGTGTCGCCCAACTATCGCACAACTGTTGCGCAACATATGTAAACGTTTTCAATGTATCGCGCAACTCTTGCGTAAGAAATGTATTAAGTTTATTGTTTATTGACTTTTGGGTATTCTATAATAACAATCGTGAGTGAGACATACTAAATTAAGTAAAAACGCGGGTTACTCACGTGAAAATACTGAGAAAAGATCTACTAGTTTCGAACCACAGCTCTCAGTGAGCTGTGCGACATCGCCGCGACGGCGCACGCTGCTCATGAGGAAGAACCCCTCTGTGGTTCGAAACTAGTAGAGCTTTTCTCAATATTTTCACGTGAGTAACCCGCGTTTTTACTTAATTTTGGGTATTCTGTTGTGATTTAGTTTTTCTAATATTATGTTTTCTTTGTATCTATTCTATTTTGTTCTTATTCGTATTATTTCTGTCTTTTACTTGTTTATTTACTATTCACAACGACACATAGTGTATAGTTAGTAAAGTTATACGTATTACTTAGATTTCAACTTAACTGTATTGATATAAAGTCGAAAATACAATAAAAAAAATGGGAGATAGGGATAGGTGGTAGCCAATTGAAGGTGACGTTTGTCTAATATGACGGTTAACTTAGGCTCTTAAAGTTACATAGGTAGAGATTTATTATCATCTCTTTTCTATGAAAGTAGATCCGCCCCGGGATCCGAACCTATTGTCTGACGACGAAGTGTTTTACGACTCGCCCGTACCGCCGGCGAGCTCACCGGAACAGCGCGTCGTTATTAGAGGTATGGCGATTGAAGGATTGATAGATTGATAGATTGATTGATTGATTGATTGATAGAGAGGTCTTTTGATTGATAAGTTTTATTTTGGAAGTGGTTTTGTGGACAACACACAAGTGTATGTATGTATAAATCATAGTTGTGTTAGTTATATTGCATAGTTGGTGCGGTGGCTGCTGCGTAAAGAATCGCGGGTTCGATTCCCGCACAGAACAACTCTGTGTGTGATCTACAGATTGTTGTTACGTGTCTGTGTGTCATGTGTATGTGAACTTGTATGTTTGTAAACGTACACACGATACAGGAGAAAATCAAAATGTAAAAATAAAAATGTTGGTAACTTGACAATGGCTGCATAGATTTTGTACACTGTCTGTCCTGAAGGACTTCTAACTCAATAATTACAACGGGAAACAATGTGTCCAATTTAAAATCCAAATTAATTCAAAGGAAATCGGTTGTAAGTTATTGTATGCAATTACACTTATCCAATTCTTCACAAATGTTTACACTATTCTATCCAGTGATTTTCGAGTACAGACAGAGAGACCGTAGTAGCACGGAGTCTGGAATTGTGCCCGGTATATGGCAATAGGCTCACCTCCTATTAGATAGTGAGAAGTGGGTGTTACATTGTACAGTGGCATAATGCGCCTTCGGGGATAAAAGGCGTCATGTTATGTTATGTCATTTTCTATAAATATAACTAACACAACTATGTCTTATATTATGACTGATGCTTTCTGGAGTGAATGAATGTATGGTTAATACCTTCTGGTGTATCTGGATGAAAGATTAATTGAATGATATACAATCAACGTTGATTGCTATCTCTATACTACCAGCGGCAGCGAAACAGCCAACTGTTATATCAGACGACGAGGTATTCACATCGCCTCCCAAGCCGGTCGTGGTGCGCTCTCAGCATTACACCACGCCGCAGCCTGTGCCCACTCAGCCCAGTCGACCCAGTCAGGCCAGTCAACCCGCTGTCAGAGGTTAGGGACTCAAAAAGATACGGGACTATTCCTATACATCCAGAATGCACTGGGATTGTCCCAGTCCATTATTAAACAGTTTTAAGTTGATTGGAATTGTCCTAGTCGATTTTTATGTGGTTATGAAGGAGAGGGTGTGAAAGTTTGGTAAGGCATACTAAATTCATTATTATGTTTTCGACTTACTCACGTAACTTTTTGATAAGGAACTCGACTAGTTTCAAGCCATGCTAGAGCTCATATTTATTTATTTAATTATTTGAAATCACCCCCTATTACATGGGACTCATAACATAAATAGTGAAAAGTGGGTGTTACATTGTACAGTGGCATGATGTGCACCTCTGCCTACCCCTTCGGGGATAAAAGGCGTGATGTTATGTTATGTTATTGGAAATGTGTAACGCCTTGGTTTTATGACTGTAATGCTGTACTATTTAATTGAAATAAATAAATAAATGAGCATGGCTTGAAACTAGTCGAGTCGAGCCATGCTAGAGGCTCATATTCATGAGCATGGCGTGAAACTAGTCGAGTTCCTCGTCAAACAGTTTCGACAGTAAGTCGAAAACATAATAATGAATTAAGGGTGTGAGAGATTGCTATTTTTGGATAGGAGTTGTCTGTTTATGTTTTATTGTGATTGTCTTTACATTGTGATTGGTTGAACACTTTCCAAAATTGTGCCTTTGATCCCTACATATAGTGGAGGCTTTAATCTTATTGCAAACATCATTGAAACTGTCATTAAGTATAAGTACTGAGTACTAATTCAATGTCAGTTTTAAATAAATGGCTTGGAAATCAAACCTTATGCTCCGTGCAATAAGGCAGTGTTTGTGTTTAACCATTGACAGTGTGTCGCTAGGTGGACCTGTCATTACGTCATCAGAATCATTGAATAACCATTCCGAAGCTATACACTGTGTCGTCCCATCATCAGTTGTCTCCATATATTTTGGTTCATCATACAGGCATCATTGCTATGGTTTAGGTATCATTTCGTTAGAAGAGAGCGTTGTCACATCTTAGGGCATATTTTTTTTGGTAAATTGCCAGGTTTGTTTCGGGTTTTGGCGTCTTATTACGTTTTTAACTAATATACATGTAAGTTATATTTACATTTACACAACTAAAATATATTTCGTTAAACACGACCAAAGAAAACTAATACATACTTTTTTATACTGTATATAATATAAAGTACCTATCCGTCTTATAGTTGTATCTAATTGCCTATGATATAGCTATCTCTTTTCCTCCTCATATACGTATGTAGATGTTGAATGTAGCAGAGAAGTAGTCGTGATATTATGACCTCTAATCCAGAAAATATACGGTACATTTCCCCTTAAAATCGGTCCATCTGACTAACCCCCACACATTACAGGTAATATAGAAGAGAAAGAAGCTCTGTCCTCTAACAAGCGGTCCAAACACGAATACTCCCGCAATACGAACTTCGATAATATTGTCAAAACGTATGATTCCCCTCGTAGGGGCGCTAAATGTAAGGTTAGTCTTAACAATAGGCTAGGACACCCAACCAATGAGGTCGGTAATGAAAGCTCTCGGTCCAGTCTCTATTCCATCCCCTCCATAGAATGGGATGGACGCTGCAGGTCGGAATCTGGTTTCCGTACAAGGTCCTTACCCAGAACTAAAAGCAATAAACTCTTCAGAACGCAATCTCATAGCGGCTTCATCAACGCCTACATGAAAGACCCTGAACCTGTCCATTATCATGTTCCAAGATGCCGTTCTTGTGGTGCTACCAATGTCTCCTACGCCTTTGAACTTAACAAAGAAGCTAGGAAGGCTAAAAACCATGGCTCTCTATATTTCTCCGTGGATAACCTACCGCAGAAATGCACAGATGAAAATGACAGAGAGGCACAATTCGTTAAAATACAAGAAAGGTTTATACCTGTGAACAAAGTTGAGAAAAAAGACGTTGAGTTCGTTGAGAGTCAGGAATTCAATGAAGATAATTACATAGGAGATATAGGGAACAGTTTCTCTTCAGAAAATCAGACTGTTATTGAGAAATCTGATGGTAAGGAAGAAACTGTCGTAGTTAATGAGGATAAAGTTGAAATTTATATCCAGAAAAGTGTAACAGAGCAGGGTGAGTTCACTAAAGACATTAATGATGATGATGAATTAGC